CCTGCCTAGGCAGGGGGTTGGACTATAAGACCTCCAAGGTCCCTTCCAACTCTGCTATTGTATTGTATTGTATTTAGTGACCATTTGAAGTTGAACAGTGAACTGCACTGAAAAAAGTGACTTAGGATTGATCCCCACATTACAAGTCTGTAGAGATTCTCAGTCATCCAGAAGTTGCCAAGGTTGAAAAACATTATTCTAGCACAACTCAGCATCACCACTGAGGAAAGTGGGAAAGCTTATCTTCTCTTCTTTATCCTTCCAGGTTCTCAAGCAGTTTCATGTTTTGGCTGTCCAGAACACCAGTTGTCAAACTCTTGGGCTAGAAGTGACCGTGAGCGGCTCCATTCGCCGAAATGGTACGTCAGGGATTGGGGATTTTGAATTATTTTTTTAAAATAATTGATTGGTGTTTTTCCCCTAAACAACATAGCTGGGCCAGACTGTTGCTTAACGTGAACTGCCTTGTAGAGAGAAATAGATGGCTTATAAATGCAATAAACAAATAAAAATACATAAAGTCCATGAATGGGAGGGAACTGATGCAAATTTGAGAGCTTAGTTACTCCTTTCCTTTCTCTTAGTTTGGGGTTAGCCTTCATCTGTTGTGCTTGTTACAATACACAACGATTGCTGTTTGGGAAGAATCATGTAGAACATGATTTGTTTATGGATGACTATCGTGTTTCCTCAAAAATAAGACATATTTTTATTTTATTTATAAGATACATTCTTGTTTTCTTTTAACCCCCCAAATAAGTGCTAGACCTTATTTTCGGGGAGGTCTTATTATTTTTGAGGTGCAGGAGGCAGCGAGCGTGGTCGCCTCACGGCTGCTGCCGTATTGCAATATTTTCGAGGAGGGCTTATTTCAGGGGAGAGCTTATTTTAGCACATGCACTCAAAAGCCCGATTGGGCTTATTATCCGGGGAGGCCTTATTTTCAGGGAAACGGGGTAGTTTTACACAAAGGGCTAGACCATGGTTTAAATGTTGGGTTGTTTAGGCAAAACCAAGTGAGCCACCTTATGTTTTTAGCCATGTCAGAGAAATGGATGTCTAGTGTCTTCTCCAATGTTGGAGCACCCGTAACTTCTGAGGGCAAGCCGTACCACTGGTTGATTGTTCTGTCAGGAAATTCCTCTTTACTTGTAGGTTGCTTTTCTCCTTGATTATTTTCCATCTGTTGCTTCTTCTCCTGCCTTCGGGGACTTTGGAGAATAGTTTGCCGAGGAGCCGAGGTGGCGCAGTGGTTAAATGCAGCACTGCAGGCTACTTCAGCTGACTGCAGTTCAGCAGTTCGGCTGTTCAAATCTCACTGGCTCNCTCATCAGAGCCTTCCCCAGACTCCAGGACTGGCCCATGTTCCTCCCGAACCTCCTCACTATCTGAATCGGCTGCTGGTGGGCCGCAACACTTTCAAGATGATGATGATGATGTTATCCATTCAGTCGTGTCTGACTCTTGGAGACTCTATGGGCCACGTCTATCCACATCTTCCGTTCTTTCAATTCTTGGAGCTGTTTTATGCTGTGGCTGGTGTCCAGCTACCATGTTCTTTGGTGGCCTGGTTTCTTTTTACTGCTAATCCTTCCAAACACACATTCATTTGCTTTCTCCAGTGAGTAACAGCTCACATCACCCCCCTAGTAATCTTAGCATGACCTCGTTAATGACCAATTGAATATTTAGGAGGTGCAATTTGTATGTTATAATGACTTGACAAGATATTAAAGTTCTACTTCCTAGGTCAAGGGTGTCAAAATCAAGGATCCTCCCTGCGGGGTGCTTTGATCTAGCCCACGGGGCCGCCCTGGAAACAGTGAAGGACTGGCCTGTAGTGCCCCTGGAAGCGAAAACAGGCTCCCGAGCTCCATTTTCACTGGCAGTGGGTTGCAGGAGGCCGTTGCAGCCAAAAACGGAGATCGGGAGCCATTTTTGCTGGCAGAGTGCTCGGGCCACTGACACGAATGACATTGAGCAGGCCACGCCCCCCCCCACCCCGAGGTCAAGCACAACCCAGATGCGGCCCTCAAAGGAATTAAGTTTGAGACCCCTGTTCTAGGTGGTTCTCCTCTTTGGTCCATCTGAGCCGAGTCTTCTCAGAATTTCAAGTTCTTGGCTGTCACTTCAAGAGAGCTAGAAGCAGTAATCCAAGGTGCTCCTTGTTACCGAAAACAGTTATTCAAAAGGTCCTCTTCTCCTGCTCCCATCACACCTTTTAAACTGGGTTGCCTGCTGGTGTCCCCATCCACACTTCCAGGAGTCATGAGAGTTTACTCCTTTCGCTTTTTGCTTCAGGCTCACAGCTTTTGTGGTGAAGATTTTGTCCCTGGCTCGGATCTACCAGGACGTGGAAAATGCGGGGATCCGGGGATCGGTGCAGTGGATTCTGGAACAGCAACAGAGCGATGGTTCTTTCACCGACTCTCGCCCTGTCTACCACCGAGAGATGCAGGTGAGGTCTTAGCCCCCTCCAGTTTGACTCATTTCTCCACTTCTTTTTGCACACGTACAAAGGCGACCTCTCGTGCCTCAAAATTCATCCTGATGTTCTGGTCCTCGTCCTTGAGCTTTTCTTTTTTTCCCCCCTTCTCTCCAGGGCTGTTTGGGTGGCCTCCGTGGCGGAGTCTCGTTGACAGCCTTTGTCACCATCGCCCTGAAGCAAGCTTTGCCTTTGTATGAAGTCAAAGAGGAGGACGATGAGGCAGAAAGGCAGAAACAGGAGCAGCTGAGCCGACTGGTACCCACCACTGCACTTTGCCATGTGAAAACGTTGCTATATAGGGCATGGAATCCGGGAGCCTGAAAAGCTCCACATTTTTCTTTAAAAGGGAAAGAAAGTTACTAGTCCCCATGAAGGTTGCAGCCAGTGGGCAGTTTGCATGTGCTAAAGCCTGAGTAGAATTATGTACTATGAGTTGTTCTGACCTGGGCTTCCCCAAACCACGAGCCGACTCCTTGTCCTGACAAAAAACCCTTCTCATTAAGTTACTGTGAATTCCTCTCATTCACATCCAGCAAAGTCTTTCAAGGGAGGATTTACA